GCGCCTTACTGGCCTACGACGATAAATCAAATTTCTTACCTCCTCCGTCGCTTACAAAAATCCTTATTACATTCGCAAATACTCCTTACGTTTACAGACAAGTATTGTATAATATGTCATAATCATTTGGATAAAGTATTCCACTGATTTCAATGAAATTACTCCCTATACTGTATTTTTTTCACAGCAGAAGCTTCTAACAAATCAATATTTTGTTACAAATTTAGTAGCTATTTGTGTAAAGAGGTATTTGTAGACTTTCCAATGGGAATGTTGTTTTTTTACAACCGCGATAACCGATCTTTGAAGGAGACATGAAACGTGTGAGCGTAGAGTTCAGCACTGAGTTTCTGACTGGATCTTCTCAGTGGGTCACGATTCCGATGCAATGGTAAACACCACGAAGCACTGCTCTTGTTGGGGCATAATTTAGCAAGTTCTGCAAGCTGAGCCCTATGAGCTGGCCCAATCATGGCATAGCCAGAATAATCCTTCGAGACTATATGTAATAATATGTATTGGCGCATAGGTCGGCAAAAAATATGATGTCAGATTCCGATAACAATTAAATACCAGAAGGAGCGTGGACTCATTTCTTTTATTACTGATGAGTTTTAAGTCTTTGTTTTATAGTGTACAATCGTTACCCCATTCTTCAAACTGGAATGAATTATTTTCTTCGCAGCAGAAATAGTCAGGACGATGTTACCTACCCGTGCGGGCTCACAAGACGCCCTACCACCGGTAGGTAAATCACAAATACCGTCATCTATCCAACTAACACAATAAAAGACACTAGCCGACCCTTGCCGCGATATTACATTCTCATCTGAATATTATATTCGTTTCAATTCATACATTATTAATTTTGGTATTCATTTTTTGTGTATCTTTCTGTGTATTGTCTTTTTTTTCCGTTTATTTAAACTCCCCATATCCGTAGTACATCGACTTACCCGACAGGTACCTATAGCCAACGAGGCGGCCCTGGAGGCTGACGGTTCCAACACAATAGCTCTCTGACGTTAATTAAATGTTAACAAACGCCCTCGTCGCCTAATTGGAACTGTTGCCTATTATCCTTACCTTTCGACGAGAAGAATAACTTCCAAGCTTTAGAATTGTACTTCAGACTTTTACAGAGAATTCTTCAAGTTGAGTGGGATACAGAGCTTTTGTTTTTAAAGTAACTTACTCCGGCGCTCATTAATTTATTTTACATACTGTTCTGAAGCTTCATATAGCAATAATGTAATATCAATCGATAGGTAGATGAACCAAAACGTGAGAATGTTTATTATAATTTTCATTTTTGAAGTAAATAACTAGTGAAGCGCTTAAACTTATTTTTTTCTTTTATAATAGCTTAAATAATGATTAATTTAAAAATGAATTAAGAATAATACATATATTTCACGTTTATTCCATTATAATGAGAATAAGAGGCATAATTTCCTTGTGATGTCGATATGGGGAATCGCACCTTCTCTAACCCTCGCACCTTACCTATCGCCTAAAAGTAATTGGTAACTCGTTCTTTAGCCAGGGAATAATACATTCCCATAAAATCTACAGAGCTATTTCGGATTTAAACTATATCAGCGTTAAAATTAAAAGTACCTCAATAACGAAGGAATTTGTGCTGCAAACAAAAACAGTATGATCAGATTTTTGGCCATTGATGGATAACGTAGACCTGCTTCGTTTAGTTCAGTGTGCTTAGTGCGAATTTTTTAACATTCTCGATAGCGTAAAAGTCAGCTCATATTTGTATGGAATGGGAACGTTTGCTTACGTTTGCCGCTAGGGGCGCTGTTCCAACTGCATACAAAAATGGCTTAACTTTTACGCTATCGAGAACGTTAAGAAACTCGCACTAAGCACACAGGTTTATAATATAGGAGTATATATTGATAATACATTGTTTTTTTATAAATTTAGTATGCGAGTGTGTGAAAAAAAGGTTTTGATTTGGATTCGTGAGAGATCACATATAGACATAATTTAACACTTTTATTCGTGGTCTATTAGTCGTAAAGAATTTTGATACTTCTGTCATCATTTCAGATGTTTCTCGAAGAGTGCTGATAATTTCGTTATCGACACCATAATATTCGTCACTAGTCTGTAGTAAAGATCATCTCTTTTACTCTAACCATTCTGTTCATCGCAGTACCGTTCCAGAAAACACTTTGACTTCGTTTTATCAAGCTCTAGTATTTCAATATCAGAACTGGTTAATTCTCCTAAGCAGTATTTTTTTTAGTGACGTCCTTCATAATGCCTTCTAAATTAATCTTCATTTTACGAGGTTGCCCTGTATTTTTTGGTAAAAATGGGCTGTAATTATAATTTCGTCACTGCGGGTAATGTTCTTTAACGCTTAAATAGACTACGAGCTATACATCTATACTTCTATACTAATATTATAAAGAGGAAAGATTTGTTTTTTTGTTTGTTTCGAATAGGCTCCGAAACTACTGGACCGATTTGAAAAATTCTTTTTCCATTAGAAGCCGACATTGTCCCTGATGAACATAGGCTAATTTTTTTTTTTTTTTCATGTGTGTTTTAATGTTTCCTAAGCGAAGCGAGGGCGGGTCGCTAGTAGGCTATAATAAAATAATCTGTAATAAACAAATGTCAGATAAGACATCATATTAATTTCAATTTTTTTTAATAATGTACATTTTTATTGACAATTTCACACAATCACACACGGTAGGCAGTGGCTTGGCTCTGCCCCTGGCATTGCTGACGTCCATGAGCGACGGTGACCACTTACCATCAGGTGGGCCGTATGCTCGTCTGCCTACAATGGCAATAAAAAAAAGGACAAAGAGGCACAATCGGCCTCCGCGTTCGGCAGCGTTCGACATCTGTCTCTCTCCTACTTGAGTGAGCGATGCATCCGCGTGGACAGCTGCTATATAATAATACATTTACATGTTTTCGTTAAGTATGAAGTTCAGTGAAAAGTGAATGTGGTGTCAATTGTTTATAGCAACGATAATTGCGATAATTGAAAAATGAAACCATTCCATCAGTATTTTCTTATGACGTTGTCACGTTCACCTAGCGTCAGTAAATTGACTTTACAGACAACCGATTTTTTTCTCTCTCAAAGTAGTCAATGCTAAAAGCATATACAGGGTGGCCCATAAGTCCTTTGAAAAGTAAAATTTGAATAAAACGAACAGGGCGCGCGTGAGCGGTGCAGGGGAAGCGGGGGGAGTAACTTCGGTTTCTGGGAATTTAGTCGCGATGGAGCGTTTTACCGGAGCGGACCGTGCGTTTTGTGTGCGCGAGTTTTATAAAAACGACAATTCGGCAACCGTTGCGCGGCGTAAATTTCGAGAACACAAAGGTTTACACAACTTTGAGGACACTCCAACTCTTCAAACGATTAAGAACTGGGTTGCTAAGTTCGAGGAGACCGGTTCGACGTTAGATAAACCGCGGTTGGGTCGCCCAAGGACGTCACGTACGGAACAAAACATAGACACAGTGACACAGTCTATTCGCGAAAATCCGACACAGTCAACTCGTAAGCGCGCCAGAGCATTAAACGTATCCAGGACATCGTTACAACGGATTTTGAAGAAAGATTTACATATGCACCCTTACAAAATTCAGTTGGTTCAAGAATTAAAGGAAACTGACGGTATTCAAAGACAAAATTATGCGAATGAAATGTTGAATCGGTTTACTTCCTTCAATAACATAATGTTCTCTGACGAGGCTCATTTCCATCTTAACGGGCATGTTAGTAAACAAAATTGCCGCTATTGGAGCCCCATCAATNATATGATTGATTATATAAAATTTCATAATTTATCATGCTTAAAACATACAAAAATAATAATTAAAACGTATTTTATAGGATCTCAAGAAAGTCGATGTCCTAAAACTATTATCTATATGTATTTAAATTCATTATGGAGCCCTCATCCGAAAAATCCATTTTTCGGTCGGAATCTATTGATCATGACACTAATCATAAATACCACTTTAAAATATGTCATCAAAACATATTTAGACATTCTGTTTAGATATTTCGGGAAAAAAGCTACCGACAAAATCTCTTCGGAACTATTTAAATAAAATAGTTTTATTCCGCAGTGAGTAAAACACTATTGTAAATTTGTTAAATATTTAATAATTAAGTGATTTTAGAGAGGAAGTCACAAGGAATGACGTTTATCGATAAAACCTGATAACATTGAAATCTTTTGTACAGCACTAAAGCCGCCATGTTTTGTGGCCAGATGACGTCACAGTGGCACGAAATTTTGGTTGACGTTTCATTTCCATAGGTTTCCTACTTCATTGCAGTAAACCGACTTTACAGCAACAGATTTTTTTTTTTCTCTCAAAGAAGTCAATGCTAAAAGCATATAGAAGATTATTAACAGGAACGCGAGGAGCAAAGCTGTCTGAATTGTTTTATTTTATCTACCTATTTAATGTTTCTTCAGGTTTAAAAGTGTAATAACAGTGGCTTATTATATTTTGTATCTGTGAAAGTGCACAAATGTGGGAAAATGAAACAAAGCCGCTAGACGTAGCTTCTCGGTATCCTCCAAAAAATCCGCTGAAAAAGTCTTAGTAAATAACCATCATTTTACTGAGATTATATTTCATCCTATATCATCTCATCTCAATTCATTTTTAACTATTTTTTTTATTTAATTTGTTATTTATTATTTTTTTAATTAATTTCATTTAATTTCACGCCAATTGATTGATGTTTCAAATTAACAATATTAATTAAACAATAAATTAATCAACTTCATTTCATTTCACATCCTATTAATATTGTTCAATAAAATTATAAAATTAAAGTATATGGTATGATACTTTTGCCTTTCCAGTTGGCAAAATAGAAATAATACTACTAAAAGCATAGATAATATCCTGTATTTAAATGTCAAAAGCTTTCCTCCATATTTATGTTTATTGTCTATACTCTAAATCTTCTCAATTTAAATCATAGATGATAGTCTGATAGTATGTTTGATTTGTAAATGAAATTTGTTTTGATTGTGTTTTAAACTAATATGTAAGATTTTTGCATCAAATTCAGCTTATCCAAAACAAATAAAAACAATGGCTCAATTCAGACCAGCCGGATTTTCCGATGAGGATTCAGATAGTGATGATTACGGATTTTATGAGAAGCCGGTAATTTACATTATTGCCTTACATTTTGATTTCTTACTATTCATAAAATAATTGTATTTATATAAATCCTAACAGTAATAATAATCCATATGGAGCACCTTCCTTTATCTACTAAGATGATCCAATAACATGCACAAGTTCATAGAGTGTATAAAATAATTAGATCTCGATTTGCTTACATATTTTTCATTTCTTATTTTAAACCAAACAGAGCAAATTATATAATAATAATTGAGAAAAACTTGAAGTATAATTGTAGTAATTGTCCAGAGATTACATATGTATATAAATTTATTCTTTCAAATATAATGAAAGAATATGTACACGTTTTTTTAATTCATTTACATTGTACGTTTTTTGTAAATGAAGGTTTATAAGTAAACTTTGTTTTAAATTGCCCTTATAGGCAAACGAGCTTAAGGCTTACTTGATGGTGAGTGGTTACCATTGCTCATTTTGTTTTTATCATACAATTGTTTTCTTTACTTATGTCAAAATTACACATTTATTACATTACTTACTACTTAAATTGTAAAAAATGTAATAAATACTACTACAATTGACACAAGATTTAAATTTGAAAAAAAAAACCAGCCTTCCTCGAATACATCTAAAATAGATAGCTATCAATTTTTAAGTTTCTTCTATTTCATATTGTTCTTTCACATCGTTAATATCCATGAACAGCAGTGGTCAATGACAAACAGGCATGTTTTATCCCCTTCCATTATTACATTTGTAACCCGGATATGGTGAGATCATTTTAAGTTCCACTTTTACTGCATTGAGTTCACCTTTTCCTTAATACTGTGTGTTGGCATGATCGTCCTAGCCATACAACCCTATTTCTCACTTTTACTCACTAAATCAACGACTTAATTTGTAGCTGAAACAGCTGTGGCAATGCTGTTACTTACTTTTGCAGTGGTTTTTAGTTTACAAATAGAAATTTGCATCTGTTTTGGGCTAGTATATTACTGAATCTAACATCTCCAAACCACTTTTTTCTGTTTTTATGTACTAGCTAAAGTGTCAACAAAATACACAAATTTCCAGGTTCACTTGTTATTTTTTTCTTTGTTTTTAGAAAATTGACAAACAATGACTATCGTGTCATATCATGGTATGACTATCAGTCAACCCGTCAACTGAAATTGAAAAGCACCATATACTATGTANCACAAATTTCCAGGTTCACTTGTTATTTTTTTCTTTGTTTTTAGAAAATTGACAAACAATGACTATCGTGTCATATCATGGTATGACTATCAGTCAACCCGTCAACTGAAATTGAAAAGCACCATATACTATGTATAAGAATGTGATATTGCCAAATTACAATAGGCACTGTGATTGTTAATTATGTATTTAAATTATATTTACAGGTTAGAAACTATGACTATTCTAGTCAAATTAGCAGTAAGAAGAAGGTAGAAGTGGCTTTACAGGAAGCTATCATAAATGGAAACATGAAAGATGTAGAGGATCTTATAAATAATGGTATGAAGATAATCTAGGCTAAAGTATGCATGAAGTGTAATGGAGATGTTAGATAAATACAAATATATCAATTTTCCTAACACCAACCATACAATATTCCAAGGTGGTCAAATTTTAATAAGACAAGTAATTTTGACTGATCTGAGGGCCACAGAACTGAATTTAAAATCAATATCCCACAGCCAAATAACTTAAGATTCAAGACAAATAATAAATTTTAACTTAATTTCAATTATTTTCATGAAGTATCAATATTGAGGCAAAATAATTCATTGTGTAAAGAAAGACCACATTTTAACTATAAACTATATGTGTGTTTTAGAATTGAAGAACAATGTTAACATAAAATTGGATAGTGGATGGACCCCACTAATGCATGCATGTTTCCATGCTCAAGATAAAATTGTTCAATATTTATTGGAGAAAGATGCAGATCCTAATTTACACTCAGGTATTTGAGTATATTGAATTTATTTATTATGTATGAAATGCTATCTAGCTCTCTCTTTCTAACAAATGCATTTTATATTTAACTTATAGCAAATTAAGTTTTGATTTAAAATTACAGATTCAGTTACACCTATAATGGCTGCATGCTCAAATAGTAGTGCAGATAATGACACAATATACAGTATTGTGTGTAACCTAATAGACAGGAATTGCATACTGAATATTGGAGATAGATATGGACAAACCCCACTAATGAGGGCTATAAGCAGCGGCCGTGTGGCAGTGGCTCAAAAATTACTAGATATGCAAGTTAATATAGAAATGAGGGATCAGCATGGGTGGACAGTATGTAAAATGTACTATATTACTGTTACGCACTGGGGTTTGGGATAAATAAAATTTCACCAAAGTACAACTGTATTGAACACTTAGAACATTTAAACACTTCACAAACACTTTAAAACTCTCCGAGTAGTTCCAATTACTGATGGACTGCGTGCCATGTCTACAATGCTTTTACGCAGCCGATACCTCATCCTCAGAATTATCGAGAATATTCCACACATCTCTAGTAGTAGTTCCCGCTATCTGACAATAAATAGCGTTGTACTTTTCGAGCGTTCTAGGTCCTTCGATATTCGTTTGACTATTCGACGATAGATGGCGTTACTCTTACCGGCGTAACATTACCTTTTTTTAATTGTTTGATTTCTGCTATTTTTATGTTGTAGGTGTTATAGTAAATTAGTTAAAACTACCACAATACCATTGCTTGTTTATACTAATACTGATTCTAATTAGATTGACTAAACCAACTAATAAGGTTGAGTATCTGGTGATGGTAGTTATTTGAATATTTTTTATTACCTTATTAAGTAGCAAGGATAAGTAAGTAATAAGGAGCATACAGCACACTTCATAGTGGGTGGTCACAAATACTCATTGAGATTAGCAACACCTAGACTATAATTGAATTTTTCTAATGAAATACGTACTTGACAAATGTTTACAATTGACTTCCATGGTGAAGGAATAACATGGTGTAATAAAAAATCAAACCCGCAAAATTATAATTTGTGTAATTACTGGTGGTAGGACCTCTTGTGAGTCCGCACGGGTAGGTACCACCGCCCCGCTTATTTCTGCCCTGAAGCAGTAATGCGTTTCGGTTTGAAGGGTGGGGCAGCCGTTGTGACTATACTGAGATCTTAGAACTTATATCTCAAGGTGTGTGGCGCATTTACGTTGTAGATGTCTATGGGTTCCAGTAACCACTTAACACCAGGTAAGCTGTGAGCTCGTCCACACATCTAAGCAAAAAAAAAAAACTGCCACTCAGAAATAATTTCAAATCTCATTTAAAGAATCACTTCTCATAGTGCTCAGTAAATATCATAGTAGGGCTAATCCCAGAGCTGGTGGTTGAATTTTCTATCTGAAAAGCAACTGAGTGTAGTTTCCTAGTTTGTATGGATGAACTGCTCTGATGACAGGTGATATAATTCATTGCAACAATGAGTTATTTCTTTGTAAAGTAATTATTGACATGCCCACTTAATAGAACTTCAAACTACACATACCAACTGTTAAAGTATTGCACAGCTCTCAAAATACTTCTCTGTTAAATGGAGCATATATCTTACATATTTTTAATACCAAAAATCAAATTATATTCCAGGCTGTTTTCTGGGCTGTCCACCACAATCAACCAGAAATACTAGAAATGTTAATTGAAAAAGGAGCTAGACTAACTGAAGTTGACAAATCGAACCGAACGCTATTAGAAATTGCCAATTGTCATGATCATCAAGTCATAATTGAAATATTAAAGAAATCACTCAACCTAGACGATGATCATAAAACAGATGAAAATTCATATTTAAACCATCAGTTAACATCTTGGCAAGATTATTATCCGGGAATTGAGAAAAATGAACGGTGAGTAAGTTAAATAACATAGATTAAGACATTGTTCTTAAATAAATATAAAATTATGCCATGAGATTCTGCACATTCGTTCGTATCACTTCTAACTTTAGAGGCCTATTTCCCTGTAACCTAACCTCGTTCGTTTTTGCATGTCCCACCAACCTACAGTTCCCCAAAGCACTCTAAACATTTCTATTTACTCTCTATAATACTGCTCTATTAAACTACTCAATAATATAGCAATAATGCCACCTAGTAGTAAATGTCGTTATTCGCTGGTATCGATATTTGACGATTGTTAGATGGCTCTATGAGCAGCTCAACAACTCTAACAATAACATGTAACAATAACTGTAACAACAACAACTGTAACAAAAGTTTTTTTCAATTAGTTTATGCTTTAAGAATGATGAGGCTGAATGGTTACATACTTATACAATCATCAATACATCAAATGTTCCGTTTATTAACATTTTCTATTATTAATACGAAAAACGACAAATAGTCTATCTACTAATTACAAAGGAATAGTAAATTTAGCAATGGTAGTAATTGCTCTTTAATGAAACCTTGCTCATTTCTACTACAGTGTAATCAAGTACCTTGGATCGAAGGGTAGGGTGGCCATTAAGCAACACTCAAACATCACAACAGTCCTTAATGCGAGTTTTTTAACTTCTCGATCACGTAAAAGTTAACTCCACACTAAGCACACTGATCCGAATTCGTATATATATAGACGACTAGCGAACCGCCCTCGTTTCGTTCCGGAAACTGTAATTTATTATTGATTTCTCCACTATTTAATGGATGCTATACATATAAACCTTCCTCTTCAGTCACTCTATTTATAAAAAAAACCGCATCAAAATCCGTTGCGTCGTTTTAAAGATTTAAGCATACATAGGGATATAGGGACAGAGAAAGCGACTTTGTTTTATATTATGTAATGAGCTAAAAAACAAATGCTAGTCAAAATTGAGTAGTTTATTTCTAAAAGCTGTTCCTGTTTTAAATTAAAAAAACAAATTACAGGCCGAACTATAAAAACGAAATTCCGAATCTGCTTTACGGAATGAGCTGTGAACGTTTGACGCCCCTGATCGTAACGTCCGGCATCGATTTGAGGACGTTCCTACTGCTGGACGCCGAGGAAATGGTTAAATTAGGTATAGAGATGCCATACGAAAGGCACAGACTGAAATACGGATTACGGAATTTTCATTTGAGAGGATGGAAATTAAACGCGGTTGCCGGTTTGTATGCTCGGAAAATGGATAACTATTGGTACGTAAAAAATGTTATGTGTTTTTAATGCATTTACTGTCTTCATTTTTTTAACAGTAAAATAATCATATAGTGATTTTTTTAATCAAATATAATTCAAATTCAAAAGATAAATTCGTAGCTATCAATGGTTAATGAACTTCCATGATTATATCATCGTTAAATTGAACAGCCAAAATCTATATATCGTCTTCTCGCATTAAAACTGTATATTCTCAAAACTTACTAATTTTACAGGAGAGTGTTTTATAGGCTTACATGGTGTTGTGTGTTACATGGTTACATGGGGTTTTATAGGTGTGATATTTTTAATATTAATCATCTTTGCAACATTTATTTTTTATTTTTTACCAGTTACATTATGTATATGTCTTTTAAAGTAAGATAAAATTATGTATTAATTTTGTTAATAGTAGTCCAAACATAGGTAAAAATACTGGTGATACCAAATCATTCCGCATATTAACTCAATTTCGAATATTTTTGGAAATTGTACACTTTTAATGCGAAAAGACGATAATATATTTTTTGCTTCATTATTGGAAGTAGGGCGCATTTACACAAGTTGCCCTCACAGATCGTCACCACTTCACCCTATCTTGCGCTCTTCCCGATGCGTCGCCAAGTGTGTATAGGGCGACCTTCTCCTGTCTGGAGAAGAATAAATAAATAAATAAATATTTACTAACAATCACGCCACGTTAACTGGTCCCGTACTAAGTTTGTAAAGAACTTCTGTTATAGGTACCAGATAACGGAAATAAATGTAAGATTTTTATTATACACATACATATATTTAATATACATCCATAACCCTGGAAAATACATTTTGTATTTATCATACAAATATCTTCCCTTGGCGGGATTCGAACCCGCGACCCCCTTGTGTAGTGACCATGTCACTTACCACTACACCAGACGACCGTTGTACCGTAAAAGACGTTATGTTAAATAGTAACTCGGAAATGTCTCTTAATCAATGACTGTCTAACAAAATTTTACATCAGCATAATGCTTTCTTTTAGCGTTTTAGACTGTTTAACTTCATTGGGGAGTCATTTACATCAGATTTACATACTAGAGGCCACGCTACAATATATTCTACGCGAGTACGCTAAAGTCGAAAATCAAATAAAACACCAACCTCCGGACTCGCCTTTACTTAAAAAATTGAAAACATCAACAAAGAAAATGCTGACTAACATAAACAGCATACGAAGGGAAATTAAAAGCATGAAAATTACTTTACAGAAGGTAGGTACAAAAAATATATAAATTGCACAAATAGGTCAGCGGTGCTCATGTTCCACTTAGTGAGGATGTTTACTGAAACCCATAGATACCCATAGATAGGTGTTATATTGTACAGAAACAGAAATAGCTGGGGTGATGCTATCGAGCCGTAAAAGCCTATTTAGTTTAAGCTACATTTTTGGAACTTCACAGTAGAGTCATTTAAAGTTTAAAATTTTGAAAAAAAATCATAACAAAAAACTTCTTCAACTATTTTAATTGAGTAAACTTAATTTAAGTTCAGTTAAGAACATCGGAATTTTGATGCTAATTAATACCAACTAAAACACACTGACTAATTACAAAGATAAATGTCGCTTAAACCAAATGGCCTTTCACCCTTCGATATGTATTCGTGTGGTCTTACAATACGCTCTACCCCACTCCTATCACCAGTAAATGGATGGAGAGTATCGCATTGTTCTGGAAAATACGCAGAGAACGCGGCTCTCAATTTATTAGCCTCATTTACGACATTATGGGTGGTGATATTCTAGGCGGCACAGCCATAAATTATATATATATATATTATTGCCTTTGTAGGCAGACGAACATACGGCCCACCTGATGGTGAGTGGTTACCGTCGCCCATGGACTTCAGCAATGCCAAGGGCAGAGCCAAGCCGCTATATATATATAGTGAAGTCATTGTATTTGCTACATATTTATCAATATACTTCCACTAGTTTCAGGAATATAATGAGCCAACTAAGAGCATACACGAATCTACACTACCTCTTTTACTTCGAATTATATCAATGCAATTTATCTGAGATGTAGTTACTATCGGTTTACGGTTAAACTATTTGCTGTTTTCAGATTGATAGTAATAATCCTCGTCCCGCCGATCTGCTACCAAAGAAGTCAACTCAAGAAATTGCGATCCAATATATCACACAAGCCGTATCGCTTTGCTCTCTAGCCTTTATACTATATCAAGGACGAACCTTGTTGGGCAATTTGTTAAAAAAATAAACGTCTTTTATGTTGATTTGTGATACTCTTATTAAAATTGATTCTTTTAAAGTATTGAATTACTCGGTCTAGTCAAAACTGTGCGCCTAGTGTGAGTTAACGTTCTCGATAGCGTAAAAGTTAACTGAAATATGTATGCAGTTGAAACAGCGCCCCTAGCGGCAAACGTAGGCAAACGTTCCAATTCCATACATTTTTGAGTTAACTTTTACGCTATCGAGAACGTTAAATAACTCGCACTAAGCACACTGACACCGATATCGACCTACAGTTATTATACGTCCTGTAGTAAGTACTTCGACAATGTTCTTATCTATTTACCTCGAACTAGTTTCTTATCCTTCAGCATATCTGAAGCATTGGGTGCTAAGGCATTTTGCAAAACCGGTACGATCCATTGTCATTCGATCATTTTTGCTATAAAGCAATTCTACGTTGTAGTTTTAAAAGGGACACACTTTCTCAGACTTGTGTCATTTTAGTCGTGATAACATCTTTACAAGACTTTTTTATTGCTTACTTGGGTGGACGTGCTCACACCCCACCTGATGTTAAGTAGTTACTGGAGCCCATAGATATCTACAACATAAATATGCCACCCACCTTGAGATATAAGTTCTAAGGTCTCAAGTAGTTTACAACGGCTGCCCCACCCGTCAAACCGAAACGCATTACTGCTTCACGGCAAAAATAGGCAGGGTGGTGGTAATTTCCCGCGCGGACTCACAAGAGGTCCTACCACCAGTACCTAATTACGCAAATTATAATTTTGCGAGTTTGATTTTTATTACATGATATTATTATTCCTTCACCGTGAAAGTCAATCGTGAACATTTGTTGACTACGTATTTAATTAGAAAAATTGGTACCCGCCTGAGATTCGAATCTTTTATTATGCTTTAGACCACGACGACATCAAGGCTATCTTTACATTACATTTTATATTCATTTCTTAAGTTAAAAAAGCACCGTTTTAGAAAATTTATAGGTATAATATTATTTTGAGAATCTGCAAACTAAAATCTTAATAATAAAATAACCACCTTATTTTTAAATACGCACACCAGCATGCGAGGCTATACTTTAAAATCGTGTAAAATTAAATAAGAGAAACAAACTGTTAAATCTCGGATTTAATTGCAGCGTCACTTGCCAGATCCCATAATATATTTTGTCTCGAAAACTCATCAACATCGGTCAATTAAGACCCGGTGGTCGTTAAATTTTATACTAAAATTGTTCGATCAAAAGGTCGCACAATATCGGTATTCTCAATTAAAACTTGAGTAATCTGACTACTAAAAAACAAAATTTCAATTTTATTTATAAAGACAAATAGTGGTTATCAAATTCATTAATAACACGCGAACGTGCAAAATTTAAATTTTTAAAAAGATAAGTAAGTCCCTGTGTTATTTTCGCTAGTTCTTCTCAGAACTTTCTGGTGGTTTCGTTTTAACAAAATTATCATACGAACTATTTATAGATTCTTTTGAATTTTCTTCATAATTGCACTTTATAATAGACGGCCCGTCAACCTCAAAATATAAGTTGTTTAGTGACTACATTATAATTGCTGTTCATAAACATGTCAACATTAAACTAACGTTCCCACGTTGATCTTGCAGCCAATTTATTAGTATGACTAGCCAAAATGACTGATGCATAGAGTCGACCCAATTCCGTGGCCAATATGTACGGCACTTTTAATCATTACATTTCATACGAACTCGGACAGTAATTCATAAAGTTGACATGCATCACTATGCATTACGTAAGCGCTGTTATTTAAAATTACGATCGCCACTTGCGAATTTTCAATCAGGTCAACCTTCTCATTTATTCTCGAAGAACAACTTTTGCCAATGAACTGAATTAATTCACGTTAATTTACATCGTACTATGCTAACAGTTGATGATACTTTTATTAATACAGTTTGTCTGTTGTTATTCACCATTAAACCGAATTTCACAGTGACTGTACATTTGTTTATCCTTCTTGCGAATAAGCGAATGTTTAATCATTTGTTTTTCTTGTTCTTGTTTTTCACTGGATTACGTTTCTATTTTTGGTTCCGTTTCGCGTGAGTCATTTTCAGTTTTGTATGCTGCGTCTTGAACCTCGTAACCCGAAGTATTTAAATAACAACCTACGTAAGTAATTCGAAAGTATGACTCCATGTATGTACCTATAGGTATGTCCTTTTTAAAGAGATTGCACATTCATAAAACGTAAACAATAACTATAGGTACATTACCAACCTAAAAATCTATGGATATATATAAAAATGAATTGCTGTTCGTTAGTCTCGCTAAAACTCGAGAACGGCTGGACCGATTTGGCTAATTTTGGTCTTGAATTATTTGTGGAAGTCCAGAGAAGGTTTAAAAGGTAGATAAATATGAAAATGCTCGGAATTAAATAAAAATAACAATTTTGTTTTTCTTTTGATGCGTCCCCCGTCGGACGGATTCCTTTTGTTTGTTTTAAGTTTATTTTATACAAAAGCTTAGGTATTTTATTTAACGATTGAGGCACTACGAAGTCTGCCGGGTCAGCTATTTAGAATAAATCAGTTATAAAATTAGTAACTATGTATGAAGATAATAATTTAAAACGGGTGTAATGATTTTTATTTTACTGCCTAAGGGTATGTACGTAATATGGTTGAACGAGCTCACGGTCCACGTGTTGTGAAGTGGTAACCGGAGCCTATAGTCATCACAACGTGAACGTTGCCATCAATTTTGAGACATCAGTGTGCTTAGTGCGAGTTTTTTAACGTTCACGATAGCGTAAAAGTTAATTCAAATTTGTATGGAGTTGGAACTTTTGCCTACGTTTGCCGCTCGAGGCGCTGTTCCAACTGCATAAAAATTGATGTTAACTTTTACGCTATCGAGAACGTTAAAAAACTCGCACTAAGCACACAGAACAAAGCTTCGATTGTTATTGTTTATCGTGAAATTATTTTGAGTTTCGGTATAAAATACACGATGGCTTTGACTTAAATTTTAGGCGAGTAAACACTAGATACATAACTATAAATACTTACCTTTCATATATAATAAGATCACAATACATAAGTAACATTGATAAAAATAAATGAGAAATACATAGGTATTAATACAGTGAAACGAGAGATCACCTTAAAATGTATGTATTGATTTTATCTACAGTACATATGAGTCATGAATCTATTTTAAATATAGAAACTTGAATAATTTACGTCATGTAAGATTTGTTAATGTTGGCTATAAATCATTTTTTTCTTCTTAATATAAACTGTTAAACAGAAATATATTTTTAAAACCTGCGTCTACACAACGAATTTTACTGTTTTTCGAAAGTAGGTTGTGACCGAATAGAGAGGGTGGAAGTAGGTAATTAAAATACTGAAGGGGTTACGGTTGCGCTTGTAGCAATCACGACTTGCACAAGGCCATCATTATTAATTCCTGGTAAACTTCGCGCTTGTAACTGCTAGCAGTCACAATTCGGGTCACAAAACCATGAAAAAGGTAGGTATGTCGGCGCTGCTAACACTATCGTGTTATTATTGCTATCACATATTTGAAATTTCCAAAAGAGGGCAGATAACTGTTCCCGATTTCCGATCGTGCGGACAGTTTTTTTTTCTTGTTAGCAACGTCGTCAGGTTTGAGCCTCTCGTGGCTATCAGCGTAGATAGGGGAAAAAAATCCCGATATTTATTTACCTAATTTACTGATTCCAAAAAAACATTATTACGTGCTTTTCCCCTTCAGCAAAATTTATAATTAAAAGACTTAAGTATATTCTGAGTCGGAAGCGCCGTGCGTGACGACAAGTTACTACTTCCTTTCAAGAACGATTGATCTAATTTTTTTTCACAATCACAGCCCAACTGTTGATTGAGACCGGATCGAAATCTCAGTTATTCTGTAGTAAAAGTTTTCCCAAGCTTCAAATAGAAAACAGATATTGTTTTACGACAAAAATAGAACACGATCTTCCCTAGCACATCAGCGCCCTGCTAGCATTATTTGAATCATGAAAAGAAGTGTTAATATAAGAAGAAATGGTACACGACCTGAGATCTTTAGATACGAATATTAAACATACAACGGGTGTCTAACGACACTTCTTATAATTTAACACGCCCTTTTTTCATAGTTCAATTAAAGTTTCAAGAATTGCCTTGACGTCTCATTCTGCCAGTTAAAAATAATCATGAATAATTTATCCAATAACTAGTTAAAAGTATTAAAAACTTACACACATTTTATTGTTAAAAACCTTGCTCTCACCTTGGGAATGACAACTAATGCGAATAATTGATATCGCGTGTGAAATTAGATAAATTAATAATTGTATGATTACTTATTATTTATGAATATCTAAAATACACAAAATGCAAGTTATACAAATTCCTTTGTTGCAACTATTGGAAACTAAACACATTTATGTGTGCATTCTAAACGGAATTATGAAAATGTTACGTAATTGATAATTAAATGTAATTAAATTACGCCCACGAGAAAACTGGATGTGCCAATCTAATATACTTAATGTGCATGCAGTGTAATAAATAAAAATATGTTTCAAAATTGATTAAAATCATATTGAAAGACGAACTTGGCACAAGTACCTAGGTTGTATATATTGCTTTAATAAAACGTGCTTAAAGAAGAGTTCGCCTTTAGAATCACCTTCTCTCAGTATTTTCAGATTCTAGTGTAGGTAGTAAAGTAGTAAAAAAAAAAAATTCATAAAAATGTCTAAAATACAAAATAGGGTCTTTTCACGTTTAATTTTATTATGAGTCTCTAGTTTTCGCAGTAATAAATACAAACGTAAAAGATATATTTTATTAATATATTATGTACTTGATGGAATTTATCCCTGAAGCAATGCATTTTCTCTACAACAAAGGGAAATCTATACCACGTGGTTCTAGTGAAATTGTTAAGATTTTAAAAATTAAGATTTAGAAGTATAAGGACTAAATTTATTTACTGAAAGTCATTAAAATTACCGATTAAATTGCTTAAAATTAAATTGCTGAGTTTTTTTTTTAATATTAGGTACGAGTCGACAGAAACTTTACTTGAGCCCGAGTACTTATTAATTAAAGTTTGATGTAGGAACAATAGGGAAAGCTACACAAATATAATAAAACTAAAATAGAAGAAAGCTTTTTCTTATTGCCATAGGAGACAAAGCAAGGGCGGATCCAGCTTTGGTGCCAGGAGGGGGTCACATAGTCATGGTCAAGTCAAGAACTTATAATTTAATTTTGATAACAATAGATACAAGTTAAAAGTAGGTATTTTATTATAAGCACATTAAAGGTATAAAGAAATTTTAGTTTTTTAACTTAGAACTATGTTATGATATTATGTTGAAGTTTAGTCGTTCCGATTCCGATTGAGGTTAGGATTCAATTTGAGGTTAGGCCTAGCTAGACGTTACGTAGTCGATAAGCGCGCGCGAGTGTGGCGCGGTAAAATTCAAATTTTCGATGCGTTCGTTCCCAAACATTTGGCATCATACAAAGTTATTATATTATATTAAATTAATTAAGGAGCAACAATATACCTAGTCTTGCCATAAATACTGAAACAAAGGGAAAAAAAAATTCTATTGCAAATAACATTTATTACTTTTACAGTGTGTTAGTTTAATACATAAATATAAAACAATTTAAAGTATAAAAAGCTTATTCGAAGTGGTCTCCATTGGCTGCAATACAGTCCTTTAAACGTTGAGGCCAGTTATCAATAGAAGCACGCACTCTTTCCATGGGAAAATTTTTCACTGCCAATCGTACGGATTGTTTTAGGGACTCCAAATTATCATGGCGTTTAGAGCAAGCCGTACTCTCTAAAACTGACCATAAATCATAATCCAGCGGATTAAGATCGGGACTAGACGACGGTCAGTCTTCAGCTCTGATGAAGTCCGAAACGTTCGTTTCCAACCAAGACTGCGTAGACCGAGCTTTATGACCTGGCGCCGAGTCTTGCTGGAAGGACCATTCTTGATTATTGAACATGGTGTTGTTAAGGGGCTTCACTACCTTCTCAAGAATCGTATCTTGATACACTTGTGCCGATGTTTTGATACCTTTTTCACAAAAGTATAGCTCAGTCACTCCTTCATAGCTAATACCCCACCAAACCATCACTGAAGTCGGATAGTGCCCACGTTGCACTCTGTCGACTAATTGGGAAGCTTCCTTAGCTTTGAGCATAAATACGGTCATTTTGTTTGTTAAAATGTTGCTCAATTGTAAAAAGTTTCTCATCCGTAAACAAAATTTTTCTATGACCTCCCTTTGCTTACCGTTTCAGTAGTTGTTTCGATTTTACCCCCCATTCTCTTTTAAATTATCAGTTAAGAAATGACCATTAGGTCTCTTATAGGCTGCAAGTCTTAAGTCATCTTTTAAAATACGCGACATGGTTCTAGGTGCTATCTTCATCTCCCGAGATAAAATCTTTTGCTTTCGGACAGGATTTCTTCGAATTCTTTCCCTTACTGCGTTGACCACCTTTTTCGTACGAACACTACATGGACGGCTAGATATTTTTCTGTCACAAACAGAGGAGGTCTCATTGCACCTATTAATAGCCCGGTACACAAACATTTTACTAATACCAAGCGTATGGAGAGTTTTAAAAATTCCGAGGTGGGTGACGCATTTACGTTGTAGATGTCTATGGGCTTCAGTAACTACTTAACACCAGGTGGGCTGTGAGCTAGTCCATCCATCGAAGCAATAAAAAAAAAAAATTGGCTCCATACCTACTTTGCGTAATGCAATCACAGTGATTCGGTTTTCTTTATCACCCCACTCCATTTTAATATCGCAAAATATTGTACAATGTATTGGCGCCAAAATGAGAAAACTCAATGAGCAATCATATAAAAATGACAGATTCTAAATTCAAATGTAATATTTTGTTTATTTTTAATTGTAACAGTATTTATGGCCAGACTAAGTATTGTGTCCTTAAATCATTATATTCAATATGTGGTCCACCTAGGTCCTGGAACCAGCTCAGGGGGGGGTCATGACCCCCGTGACCCCCCCCCTGGATCCGCCCTTGAGACAAAGGCATAGCTGAGCCGCTACCTAAAGTTTAGGACTCTTCAAACCTCGTTGTCAAAGCGCTCGAGCGAAGATGATTCCAGAACTGAATAGTATGTGATATGGTAGATTTACTAAACATAACCGGTCTTTTCATTTCTTCTACACGCTTAAATCTAGCAGATATATTTTTATTCTCAAAATCCAAGTGCAACATCAACAATAAACACGAGCCGCTTTCATATCTTATTTCCCACAGGCGACCGCAGACATACCTATACAGCTATTAAACGTATGTATATGTGTATTATCATCTTACAGTGGGAACTGAGAACTGATACCTTACTTAAGCAGGATGTAACTTCGTGAGTAAGCTTAAATTCATCGATCTTGCTTTTATTAAGAAATCAGTTTCATTTTAAACGGAATTTCAATGTTATTTCTTCGTGTCGGATCTCTTGTGCAATTGTGATCAATCATAGAATTACTTCCGTTTTATGCAGGGCACAACCTTAGGCTTATGCAGCCGGAGTAATAACGACCCACAACAATAAATTGTGAAGAAACTATTTAATCTATACCCGTACTTTTTTACCGTTTATTCTGTGAGAGCCGCCGGTCAAACTTCAATGTTAATTAATGAAGAAAAAAAAACGACAACAAAGTTTTTATATTTATGCAATCTGTAAATAAAATTCCGAATCATCAGTAGTCAGGGTCTTTTGTTAATTCATTTCCCGCCAAAAGCTTTAACCTCACTGCCTTACCATCACATAATATTTTAGGCACATACTTTTGCCAATACGTATTTTCAAATAATGTTTTGTGCACGATAAATTTAACGATTTACAAAATTTCATAAATTTTAACAAGTGGGTATAACCTTCAACTTGTGATGATTCTAAGTTTGTGGAAGTAATTTTTTTTATTTTCTGGCCGGGGCCCGACCCTCCTATGAGGTTCTTGCGCCTAGCAATCTGCAGAAGATCTGCAGATCTGCAGATGTTGGGAGCAGACTGCGAGCCCGTTAATATTTTAAGGGCCCTACCGCACTAAATTCCCCTGCACTCTTACATTCGACGTCTGATCTCAGAACCCGGTCAGAGTAAAAGGGGATCCCGCGGTCAACACTACAACCAGACTTACGGCGCCACTCCGAGGACCGTCGGGTTGTCGAGGCGATAGTCCGCGGTACGGCGGCCTTGCCCGACCGCCCGGGGGATGCCGTTGGTGTTCCGGGATACCCCACTGGGTCAGAACCAGCCTGCCAGGTCAGAACGCGATACACCGCAGACGTGCAAATCCTCAACCCTGCATGTTTACAGCCAATGGAATTGAGATTACAACCACACATGGCAATATGCACGTTAAAATGTTTATAGAAAACCTAACACCAGGTTATCGGTGAGTTCGCAATATCTAGCGCAATAGAAATAGCCTATAAAACCTAAAAATATATAGCCTAAAATAAAAATAGTCTAAAAACGTTTTTAACCAAACTCCTCAATATTTCCTTGAACCGTTAATTTAATTTGAATATTCTACAACACCTCGATCTACAAATCTAAATTTACATTTACGATAACATCGAAATGACGTTAAATATTTACATAAAACTGGCCCCCATAAATAAATTGCATACGTTGAACCACACTAGTAACATGAAAATGTTTTATATTCCGTAGCGATCGTGTTACCGCTGGTATTAGTCACTTTCCGGCGGGCATGACGTCACGGCGCGGAGTTATGGTTATTTGCAGATGGCATCCGCTGAGCTATTGTTTTCACAATCGTAACACTGTAAAAGCAGTAATCTCTGTTGGTAGTTTACAATACACATTCCCTTGCGTACTTTCTTTTCGACGTTTAGTCAGAATGTCTGGATTGCCATGAAATAGACGCTTAACTACACAACTAGGAAAACATCTCAATAAAATAATAAGAATAATAGCATTTTTAAATCTTATTAAGAAGTAGAATTGCAGCAATAAGCGGCTTCTGTTTTCGCTCACACAAATACTAAATTTTAGAACCAGCAGAAGTCAACTTTTGGCAATTGTGGCAATATTTTTTTTTTTTTTATTCATTCAATTCAAGCTATTTAATATTAGATCAGATTTGTTCTGCAATTATGGCTATTATTCAAGTTCATAATGATATTTCCATTTTTTTTCTATCATGTGTTTTCTTTCTTTATTTTCTAATGTAATTATTGTCTAATGGTAGTTAATAAAATAAAAAAGTACGTTTTTATTTATTTTATTTGACATCTAAAACATTCGTAACAACTGTTTGTACTAAAATATAAATGTGTATCAAGTTAAGCTGTTAAATTGGTGTATTTCATTAATATCCTACTTATCGCTGCTATTAGCAGGTGGCATTAAGCAAAATGGACATTTTTATATATAAGACACTTTCCATTCGTCGTTGTCATAGCCGATTATTCTTAAAACAATTCACAGTACTTTCAATACTACATTGAACACGCGTTAGCTCATTTTATAGTTGGAGCTTGATGGCGTAAGAAACTAATAAAATATGAATAAAATTTTCTTCAACCCATCCGAATGGAATTGAGAATGGTACATTATAATTCATTTTTGTTACAATCACGACAAATAATTATACCAACTTCAAACTCCACTAGCACAGTGAAAGCGAATGTCACTAAAGCAACATTAACACGCAGACCGTGTCCCACAACGCAAATTGGAATACGCAAAAACATTAATTGACAAATTACAACGAGTAAGTATGTGGTGTTAATAAATTTTGAGATTCACTAAAATAAGATTCTAAATAAATAACGCCGATTTTTTTCTTATTTTAATTTATAAACGTAAATTAAAAATAAATTATTAACAGTTATGGAATATCTGCTGCCTCAGTGGACTCGTGGCGAATGATGAGACCGCTCAGTGCTTCTGGATAGGAATGTTCCTGTCCGTGATGGCGAGTTGTGGCAATGGCGCTTCCACGGTAAGCACACCGTCCCGGGACAGCGAAGACTTAATGGCCTCAGGATTTGTTCCCTTGGGCAACAAAAACTCCCTGTTGTATTCTCTGTACACAGATTTCGTATCAGATTTCTCCTCGTGTTTGGCATGGACCTGAAATCATCACATAAATCGGTATTTAAAATTCCTGTCTGGTCAAGATGACTGTGTTTCTTGACCCCGATAAAAACGAGAGCTCCGGTGCACAAAACGAATCTATATTGTTGGCAAGTTGCCTGCGCTGTGAATGTTATGCGAGCCAATTTCTATGTTGTGTACATAAATAAAGACTGATTTCAAAAATGTAACGTTTTTTAAGCAAAACATAAATTATTTTAAAGTACAGAATACACCGCAGTTATGACAAAAACAAATAAAAAATAAACTCTATCATTGGTTGTCCTCAAAATACGAAAGATAAATAATAAATAAATGGAATTCGAGAATAGGAAAATATTACATAATAATAAAATTTTAATAATAATATGTACATAATAACCGCTTACAGATTACACGCGATCATCTGGCCCCTAACTAGGGTTCCCTGTACTATGGGAACCAGAGAATACATACTACTGGGTAATAATACCTATACGTTTTGAAAATTTTAACATTTCCTCATAAGAATGTATATCGGCTGAGTGCATCATGCCTAATGTGGCCAATATCAGTCAAATCGCTGAAAGCAAACAGCTTAATAAAGTTGACTGCGATTTTATCAGATACGAATGATATTTACCAGTAATTTGTTGTCGACAGTCTTAACAACGATCTCTTCGGGAGTATACTGGCTGACATCAAAGCGAAGCTTGAGAGTCTTGCCGTCACCCTCGTCTTGAATGAGCGGCGAGTTTAAGCTATCCCAGTGACTGGGCTCGGCAAGCTGTCTGCTGTCACTATGCTGTGAAGATGTCGTCGTGCTGTAAAAATTCAGAGACAACGCTAAATAAAGATTTTATTGAACATAATATATGACATATCGTCTTCTCGCATTAAAACTGTATAATCTCAAAACTTACTAATTTTACAGAAGGAGAGTGTTTTTAAAGGTTTTTATTAACATGTGATATTTTTAATATTACTTATTGATCTTTGCAGCATTATTTTTTATTTTTTACCAATTACATTATCTGTCTTCTATAGTAAGATAAAATTATGTAAGTATTAATTTTGTTGATAGTGGTCAAAATATAGGTAAACTAAAAAAAAAACTAAAACTACATTAGGCTCTTTTGACAGTATTTATGAGAAAAATACTGGTGATACCAAATGATTCCGTATATTAACTCAATTTCGAATATTTTTGGAAATTGTACACTTTTAATGCGAAAAGACGATAATATATGAAACGATTTTATTCTCATACTTATAAAATATTCTAGAAATGACAAGCATCTAAAAAAGGGAGTTTCGAGCGCAACAAACAGTAATACTATATTGATCTGCATAAAAGTAGTTCATATTCAGGTAACTGGCCTTCGAGTAACGTTAGTGAAGTGAGCAATCCATTATGTTCGGTGTGGCTCGGTGAATTGTTAAATAATCATAATTGAACTAGGTATATAGGTATGTTCGTCTGCGGTGCTCGTTGTAACTATTAACGTGGTTTAAAGGTCGCTATGCCCTTGAAAACTTGTGATAAAACAAAACTCGCTTCTACACTGCATTTGAATAATAATACTGTGCATAGCATTTTCGTTCGTTTTCACAAGTCGTCGAAATTAATTTGAGTCATTAAAAGAATTTAAATGAAATGGATTTGTTTTAAATTTAAATCTTATTATCTATGAAATACGTGTAAATTAAGATTGGTATACATGGCCTTAATTATGAAAAAAAACGTAGATTTATTTAAATTCAACTCATTTGTTTTTTAATACGCGTATGGAAATATGAAAGCTATTAAAGTAATTTAATGTCAGCTTGTAATCTAAGTCTCATGTGGCGTGCAAAACGAAACATTATTCATTTAAGTCCCTCTAACGTACGTTTTATCAAAAACATCACATCGGTGGTACAATATCACCAATTACGTAATGATTAACCAAAATTATATCACGCTACACTACAAAATATTTGATAAGCACTCTCAAATTTTCATTAAGTATTGAGGTGCTGTATATGATAAAATTAAGGATACTGGTGATCGAACTACTGTGTTCTAGATTATCTTTACCACGTTCGAAGCTTGAAGTGGAAAAGAGACAATGTTAATTGCTCTGGACTACCGGTGGACCAAATAACTCACTGTCGGTCGCATACAAGTACAGAGGTTGGTCGAGAAAAGGCCTGACGATCAAAGGCTTTTAGATAATGATAGCGAAAATCGGATCCTGGCCACTCAGACGTACTTTCCCGCCATCTACACGCAGGGTAGAAATATAACGAAGACGACCCGATTATTTTCAGTCTAAGTTTCACCCAAATTCATATTTTGAGTACTGACTTTGGGCGGTTTTACAAGAGCGGGTTTGTACAGCTTTGCTTTTCTGACGCGGATTAGTCTGATTTTTAAGTAGGTATGCAAAACATTTTTCCTGTGCACTGATATATTACTAAGATTGAACAAACTTACCTTCAAAATTTTTAATTATATTCCAAATATGGAAATAAGTGGTAACACATTAGTATGTTTTAGTCAAATTTGTAATTGTCTGACAACATTGAAAAATCTCGCAGAATTTAAATAATCTCGGTGGTGACGCGTTGTTGATAGTACCATAAATGATAGGTATTTTTTCTTGATAATAGAATTCAATAATCCACATAGCATTGGATCAATAATTGAAATGGATAATGCTGGATGTTTTCAATTGCATTTTAGCTTTTCGTTTTTTTATGTAAGTATAAGTAATTGATTATCAAGCGTGATGTCATGTTCGTGTCATCTGTGTAGCCGCAAGGTCGTGTCAACAAATAATGAGATCATCGATATTAGAGTGAGCAAATAATAAAACCAATGTATTCAGTTATCAACCGTGGGAGACATTCAAACCTGTGATGAACCTGTATGCCTACATACTATTACATAATCATCTCTGGGCATGTTAGAAGTAGCGAATATTCTACGTCGTATTGCGAAAGACAAAACTAGAGCGGTCGTGTTCTCTCTGGAACAAAACGTGCCGTAAAGTAAAATAAAATAATCTAAAATGTACATAGGTATGTAAGTGTGTGGATGGCTTCAAAAATATTTTATTTACCCAACTATTACTAACCTCCCATATATCTTTTTATAATTTCATACTAAATCTGTCTGGGAATTTGAAAATGAGAAAATAATGATTTGTTTTATTATTATTTACTGGAGTACGTACCCGAGCCTTAGATATAATTAAAAACGCGTATTTTACGATTTCTGTTACTTCGGGTGTCAGTAGCGACTTAAAAATTTATAAAATAGATTCAAGATTAAACCATAACTAGTTTTAATTACATTACATAGCATTGTGGTTTTAATAGTCGTTACATTCTCTGTCGTAGCAATCAAGAGAAACAAAAGAATTAATGAGTGCCGTTGCAGCTGTAGACATTTCGAATTAAAACTTCTCATAATTTAACTTATATGCTACATGTTTTATTTTATAAAATAGATACTGTTGGATTTTATTTAGCTACATATAGGTAGAAAATATTTTTAAAAACAATTCCCCTAGTCCACATTCCAAAGTAAAATATAAGCTTACTAGCGACCCGCCCTCGCTTCGCTTCGGAAACTGTAATTTATTATTGATTTCGCCACTATTTAATGGATGTTATTATACATATAAACCTTCCTCTTCAATCACTCTATCTATTAAACCGCATAAAAATCCGTTGCGTAGTTTTAAAGATTTAAGCATACATAGGGACAGATATAGGGACAGAAAAAGCGACTTTATTTTATACTATGTAGTGAAGATACAATTTCAATTACAACAAGCAGAAAAAGAACATCGAGGTGCATGCGTTTATATTAATGTTTTACATATGCATATAATCTAATAATTTATTTACATTTAAGATTATAATAAAATATACATAAAATTAAATAATATACAATTACCTCTCAGACGACTTAGTTACTCCTCCAGAGGAGACAGATTCGAAATTGTAAGACATGCAACAAGCATTATATGCTGTTAGTTTCACTGTATTCGACAGTTATCTTTTCGATTTGATACGAAACACCGATGGACAACTGATAATGATACACGAGTTCAGTGACACTTATGGAAATGCCGTTAGTATGATATGTGATACGTGAGATACTTCAAATGAAAATGTTCCATCCGATCTAATAAATTCAATTCCCTTTATTAACAGTCTTTCTTTTTTATTAACAAAGCAGGGAGTAAAGAAAAAATCCTCGTTTTGTCCATTACAGACGATGGCCATAAATAGACTATAAATTGAATAGGGTTATTGCAAATGTTTTAGTAGAATTTACGAAATTGAATAGTCTTTAATACTTTTTCAGCTAAAATCTATATTAAACTGGCAGTATAATTGATATTTATAGATATATAATTAATTCACAAAGCCTATAGATATGATTATCAAACACGATATCGGTAAAAGAAAAATGTCATTAATAAAATACAACACCGAATATACCTAAGTGTTTAAAATTATTAAACAAAGCGATAATTATTTAACAAATACGATTATTATATTTAAATTTTACAAAGTTTGTATAAAGCATAAAGGTCCTTCGGGTGTAAATAGATATTTAATAAAAATACCTACATAAATAACATATTAGCCATTAAACCATACTCCAATAAAAGCAAACAAACGTAGCGAGCTTTCTACCAACTTTTACCAAAACGTTGTTCTAACTCCGTTGCCATGGAACGAGGTAGCACACAATCGTGTCAACGTAATTAATTTAATTATTCAGGATCTTTATCGTAAGCAACTGTCACTATACCCAAATAAGACAAACAGTTCACCTTTTAAGACAACTACCCACGCAGTATTACAATCATCTACTCGATCAAGACGGCATGGGCGGACTTGTTCAAATGCAATACCCACACCTAAAAAAAATTACTAAGTATCTTTGCAATGAAACCGTGAATGTAAAATTTTAGCTACGCATTCAAAGAGACCATAAATCAATGTTAACACGTAATGCTTGTTTTCCATTTAGATTTACGCGAATTTCTCAAGTTTTCCGCGGTCATCTATACTTTGGGTACAGCAACGTTGAGTGAAGGTTGGTATTGCATCACAAAACTACAGCTGAAACAGCCCCGACTTGCTCCAAGTGGGTCATGTGATCAAGCTATTAACATAACTTCAATATACTCCTGCAAACAACTTTGGTCATGCCCACACTCGGCGTTAAAATTATTCGTATCGATAATTCACGGACTTTCACGTTAAAAACCCGAATAACTGGCGATTAAATTTGAACCTTAACAAAACATAATAGTTCAACATTTATCTGTTTTAGTGAAAAGATAAAGTAATCGTAAATTTAACAATATTCGAACATTTTACTCATAACTACCTACTGAATAAATAAGTAAATGGTCAGCTCTGAAAGAGTGATTAGCGGCAGCTGAGTAAAAAGGTTACTTTTCAATATACCTATTGATACTTTTTTACTATCACGATTCTACATTAAAATCATTATCAGTGTGGATGCTTGATCTCTGCTACTTACCGGTATCTGTAATTTTATTGATAATGTTAAATGGATTAGATATCGGTTAAAAAATTATGATCTAACAACAAGTTACTTGAAATTGTTTATCTCGGAACAATCGAGAGCCGTACGTGTTATGTGCGGCGTCTTGTTTGTCCTTTCGTGCATTTCTTAGTTTTAGCAACAAAATTTTACGTGTTGTAAGCCGCCGCAGCCGGCGCTATTTCTATTTATGACATCATCCCGCGTCGGGCTTACGTATCGCTGCACGCTTTAAATGGAGGCGAATAAGATGTCTGCAGTTGATGCCGTTCCGGACCATGGTTGCGGATAATGCCCTTAGGGCAAAGTAAACTTTCTTAAACGAAGATAGGCGGTGGTAATCGAATAACCCAACTTATTAAATTAAAAAGATACCGTGTCAGGAGTTCAAGGCTGGCGTGCTAATGCTATAATAAAAAGATGAAATTGTCAATGTTCGACGTAGCAACACGTTATTTTAATGTTATTTTTATTTTTCCTGCTAATTGTGGGTAACTTTGTCACTGTAAAATATTGAAAATTAAATTATGTTTTATAAAATATTCATGTATTATTTTAAAATATATACCTAGTTGTGCTCTTGAAGAAATTGTTGCTTTCTCTGTTCATGAGTTCTGATCTGAATTTGCTCATTTCTTCTTCCATCTTCCTCATTTCGGCATCGAAGCGCTCTCTGATGCTTGAGAATTCTGTATCGATAACCGAAAAATCACCAAGCTTGATGGGGATATTTCTCTTGAGACCACTGTCAGCCATTTTTCACGTTATTTGCCGCGTGGAAATTGTAGAAACTAAACAAACACTGAAACGTTCTCGCGTAAACACGTTTCACTGGAATAATACGCACTCGACGGCTGACAAGACAGTACTGATCATTAGTCGTCCACTGTAGACTCGGCGCCAGGGGGCTTGCGCACTGTTTTAAATAGCCTCACGTTCGAACGCCGTCGCGGAGTTGCTCCGCGTCACTCGGCATTCGGCCCACACTATGCCTTCTCGCTCATTCCACGTCTCCTCATACCTCACCTCGGATACCCATCCATCCATGATGATGCAGACTGCAGAGACGCAAAGATGTGATGGCGGTATCCACCGCGTAATGGATTTGATGAATCATAGTTTCATTTCGATTCATGTGTCCACTTAAGGCAAAACGAAACCACAAGAGACACACTTATTCATTGTGATATTTTTAATGACTGATCATATCCTTCACAAATGGAGCAGTCATGCAAATTCCTAATCGAATATGTCTTCATACTCCATTCTGCTTGATACCTAATTAAAATAAAGGCTTAAAATTATTATTTGTATTGTTTTTAATTACAGATCAAAATAATATACAACTAGTAAGTAAACTTTATCGAACGTCTAATAAGACAGTTTTTATTAAAAAAATAATATAAGTAGATACGTTTACTTTCACATCACAAGATATTGAAACAAGATTTTTTTTGACATCTATGGCACTATCATACTCAGTTCATGTAGGTAGTGTGTAAGGGGTGCTTGTAGAAAATCCTTGAAGGAATCCCATTATTTCCCTTTTCATCAATCGTGCCCAAAGATTAATTTTGCGACGTGCTATCGGCGTATACAAAAACCTTTCCTAAATTATGCTTCCTCGGTTTTTTCCCATGAGGTTAAATAAGAGCCCTTCATGTCCACGAGATATAGTGACATTTAATGGGACCCTATGCTTTAACCACAAAAAATAAATAGTAATGAAAAGAGTAAGTAAATCTAAATTATGGAAACATTTTGAATATTCTTTCTGATTTTTACGTTTAGTAATTTATAAATAATTAGCGACCCGCCCTCGCTTCGCTTCGAAAACATTAAAACACACATGAAACCAAAAAAATAAAATAAAAATAAAATAAAATAAAGTAGCCTATGTTCATCAGGGACAATGTCGGCTTCTAATGGAAAAAGAATTTTTCAAATCGGTTCAGTAGTTTCGAAGCCTATTCGAAACAAACAAACAAACAAATCTTTCCTCTTTATAATATTAGTATAGAAAAACCGCAATACCTACTCTAAAACAAAAATTAAACTACTTACCCACTTTCTTCATCATCGTTACAATTTTTTACTTTATTAATACTCATATTGTAGTACATTTTACAAAAATCACAAAAAAGATTGAACTGAAAACCCATAAATGTCACTTCTTATTAAAATGTGCTGTATTATCTTTAACAGCGATTTTGGCCTGTCCCATTTGATATGAGTGTCTGATGGGCATTCTTAGATTTGTCAGTGACCATACCAAACTTTAAACACGGTCGTTATCCTAGTCAGAGAAATTTGGTCTTCAACGTTGAATATTCTTCTTTTTGTCTCCTGTATTTTCCGGCATCCATAGGACAAAAGTTCTAGCTTTGAACGTTGAATGTGGAAAATTATTTATCAAAGTTAACATAATAATATTGCATAACATATCATGACGTGGTTGTCTGAAATTTGGTCTAAAATAACAACTGTTAACTATTTAACTAGCAGCCTTGAATGATTCACTACGTAGTCATGCGCTGAAGACAAAAAGTTCCAATTATGTCAACAGCTACCAGAGTATTTAACTACAACAGTGTGGGTGTAGCTGGCTTTAAAATTCTGACCTTCACTGTTAATAATACTAACTTATACTTTATTATTTATTTATTAACGTATTATATTTACATGAAACCCATTAATACATAATATACACATATATACAGAACAATTCTTTTCCGTATATACAATACACCCACACATTCAGAGAACAACTTTACCCAGACTCCAAATTTAGTATTATTAGGCATATTTTTAATAAATGTTATCTTTCACAATGACGCTGACTTCCACTGAAGCTCCGTATAAGGTGTGAGGGTAATCATAGTTGGACGCGGCTAGGCTGAAGGTGCATACACGTGTTATTAAGGTTAATAGACCGGAAAGACCGGACCGGAATTTTTCTGGTCTATTATTTTTATATTTTGCGCGATATTTTCACAGGCGACGACCTGTTTGTCAATTTAATTTGATAATTCGTATAAATTAGATGCTGAAGTTTCTTTTAATTCAAACGTCGTTTCGATTTTTTGTTCATATACATAATTAATTTGTTAATGGTTTTTAGGAGGTTGACATTAGCTTTCCTATTTTGGCCACATAAGAGCAGATGTGGGTTGTTATTTCTTATAGGTAGGCGGTTGTTCTTGAAGCCACGCAATGCCTAACGCAATTATTTAATGTGGCTTGTACACCTAGTCTGAATTTAAAGCTTTATTACGATTTATAATCATGAATATTGAGATCAATGAGAAAAATATTAGTTGAAAAATACAAACTTTTTTACGCAGTAATATTTAGTTATTGTTATGTTAGCAAAGAAGGTGTTTGGTCACGTAGGGACTGATTGGAAAGTTCGTGAGTGCGATAAGACGTGGGGTCATTAACACCTGACTTTAATTATTAGGAAGTATACATACATAGTTGCAATCAAAACGAGGATTGCAATTCTACGCAATATGCAAAGAAAAATTCCATTCACGATATAACCAGCGACTATTTTGGAATGGAAAACGTGGCTTACGTTTCAATAAGGACGGGTGAACGACCACTACCAATTAGGATTCAAACGAGTTTATGACGTAATCAAACTATATAATAAAATCATAGAAGCACACAAGTGGACGCGTTGTGGAAAATGTAGGATAGGAATTTGAAGGAATACGGTAATATTTTAGTATAGTCGATCCTACTGCTTCTAGAGCCCTTTTCAATAGGAGTGTGGTGCCCAAATTGGTGTCAGTGAACCTTAGATGAAGTTTGATCGTCAACGAATTAAACAGTTATGTATAGCGTAAAGAAAATCATTTCTCCCGTTCAAAATGCGAAATCACAGACAAATTTACCGATGCAATTAAATATTATATTGTATACATACTAGTTACGGTTCACGTGTTAGTTACTTAGTTTTAATTTTAATTAAAAAATATCAAAAACGAGCGTGTGCTCAATTGATTAAGCCATTGTAGAGATAAGAGTGTACAAACTCAGGAATGACGTCGCCACCTTGAGAACGAATTTAATGTAAGATTTTAATACATTTTTTATTATCATTAAAATTATTTTAAATTGTTTACTTGAGTATGGTCTCCATAGGGTGTCTTTGGAGACAACACAACGTGAATACCCTTTGAGATATGAGCTTGAAGTCCCTATTTGTTGTATTGTAAATAGCGCTCTCCTACTCTTCAAGCCGGAACACATTACTACTTCGCAGTAAAAACGGGCGGTAACGGAAGAATATGTGGTACATTTCCGTCCGGATTTAAGTTCCTCGGGTCGGTATTATCATAATATATTTTTTCTGGTGGAAGGATTACTTATGGCTCGGAGGCCTTTCTAGTTTCACCAGGACAGGTGGGCGAGCACGGGCATAGCCAGGGGGGATGGGATTTACTAACGTCTGCCCGATCGCCTCCAGAGGAGCCCTAATAAATCAGGAGCAGTTGCTTCGAGAACGAATCTACTACCGCTGAGAAGGTATTATTGTATTATAATACAATAATTATACAACCTTGTTATTCTGTCATCGTGGAACTCATTCTGGAACACGTTTCATCATTTTTTCTAAGTAAACTGCTTGCGGAATTTAATGTTTTTATATTTTTTACTGCAAAGATGGGTGGACGAGCTCACAGCCCACCTGGTATTACGCGGTTACCGAATCCCATAGACATCTACAACGTAAATACCGCCACCCACGTTGAGATATGAGTTCTAAGGTCTCAGTATAGTTACAACGGCTGCCCCACCCTTCAAATCGAAACGCATCATCGCTTCACGGCAGAAATAGGCAAGCGGTGGTACTTACCCGTGCGGACTCACAAGAGATTCTACCACCAGTAAAGAATACCATTGAATTGAATACCAGCATAACCGCGTGGATTGATACGTACACCGAGCCTCTTATCCTTTAGGCCATGACGACTTCTCGCTAATCACAAATACGTTTAGGAAATATGTTGTCAACTGTCGTCGTTGCGGATTAAACTCAAACTGCAGTATAGCAAGCACTTATTTATTTCACACGCACCTTAAAATGTATACATTAATAATCAATTGGTTTTTATCCTTTGAACCTTTTAAAAACGTAAAACGCAAATTTTTATCTCATGACATTTTTCCCTCAATCTGACAGCCTGTCTTTCTTTTCTTCCGGATGTCTCCCGTTGTTAGTCTGTGTGTGAAAAACCATTCACCACATACGTACCTACTTGTAATGTGGAATCAAATCGTAAGCACTTGTTAGATAAGTTATGCTATACAATTTTGCTCACGAAAATTGCTACATAAGTCATAATCCGAGCAGCGGTAGTTGCATCACCCGATGTCATCACACTGTGTGCTTTATCTAGTAGGCCATGAACATCTATGGGCTCCATTACTTCTTAATTCCTGAAATGATCAGTCCTCCGTCGCTAGTAAAAAATCGCCACAAGTAGCTAATAGTGGTGGCGTGCTGGTGCTTAGGAATAATGTGCTAGTATCGGTGGTATAGATCGTAAGCTTCATCAATTCATGAGTTATTCAGATTTTTCTTATAATTTTTTTTATTTTATTTTTTATGGCTCTTGTAGACAGACGAGCATACGACCCACCTGATGGTGAGTGGTTACCGTCGCTTATGGACTTCAGCAATGCCAGGGGCAGAGCCAAGCAGCTGCCTACTTTGTTTATTACTATATCACTAAAAATCCGAATAGCAAAAAGCCCTGCTAAAATCTTATACTAAATCAAGGACAGGTTTTTAAAAATCGTAGCAGCGTCTTTCGCCTGTGGGTTGACTCTGGTCTGTTTACTTCCGCAATTACATTCAAGCTTGTTTTAAACATATTATAATTATTGAAGTGAAACTTCCTTATCGGCGTTGGAAAAAAATTTACCGTCACA